TTAGTAACACTGGACGAAAAAACGGATTTACTAATGTTTATGAAAGGTGAAAATATGTGGTAAATTTGCATTAGATTTGCGCTGTCGGCTAAAGTGTGGGCAAATACATATTTTGCAGTGGTGTTTGCTCTTGTTTCCCCAGGATACCAAAAGAGCACTATTGCATGTAGTTTACTCGTATTTGCCTTAAGAGCCAAAAACAATAAATTTCTAGACATTTGGTTGTATCATAAATTTGTACATTTGCATCATAATTATCCATATTTGTAAGGGGAGCAAATATAGTGACCTGCATAACATTTGCTTACAGACAAAGGTGATGTGCATGTGACATTTCCTATATATGTGACTCGTTTTGTGACTAAAGTAAATTTCTAATCTCAACTGTAACATTACAATGCTATGATAAAATTTTGTACACGCTGGGGTACCTCCGCCCAGAGGTCCAACCTCTTACATGCATCTCTTTGACTGTAAAGGTACCCCTTTCGTGTACCTTTTATCAATTAAAGGCACCCCTTTCGCATATCTTATCAGGAGCCTTCCTAACCTTGTTTCCTGTTAACTCTTGTAAATGCACTATACTGTCATTTTAATATTGTTGGTTTTCACATGACGTCACTAAAATTCAAACTAAAAAACTATCGATCCTACCGAGATTTTACTTTCACGATGCATTAGAGCAACTGAAAACTAATTTTCATACAAATTGTCGCTTCAAAAGGGTTCTTGGTTTTGTGATAGGGTACGCTTGAATTTCCAAGCTTTTTCGTGACGCGGCATCAACATGACGGCCAAGAGGGCTGTCATGTAGGTTAAAAAAATGACTTATTTCAGGAAATTTTGCTATCTAAACAGTTTATGTATTAGAAAAAGTATTACTTTAATGTCTATGAGTTTCTCGAAGAATAAATTCACGCTTTTGTAGCAAAACTCGGTAACAGATGTTTCTGTTAGTTTCCGTCCGTCATTTTGAAGCTCATCCAGGTGAGCACCAGCATGGCGTCTCCATACAAATTTCTAAAATTAAGTTTGGGTAAAACATTTCGTCGGATATCTCGTATACGAAATAATCCTCTGACCTGAATCTTGGGGAGGGTCTTTGTATATATACCTCCTTTCATTTCCCAGATTCTGGACTTTATCTATTGAACGGTTTTGATTTTTATTTTGATCTATTTTGAATGGCGTAACACTGAAAACCAGCAATAAAGGGATCACAAACCAGTTAGCTTTTTTGAGTACTTTTCAGTAACAATTTTCTTCTGTTAGTCTTTTTAAAGAACGAAATGACAGGCAGTCTACCCCCTCATATACTTTAATTCAGGAAATCCCTATATCTTTTCATACCTGAAGCATGAAAAAGGTGTCCCTTTCTGACAGTGCCCCCAGCATAACCCCTTCCCGGGCTTCTAGTCTAAAGCAAATACACTAATTCAAATCTACTGGCTATTAAGGTCCAGTAGTCAGATTATTGATGCACTGTATTTCCTATTATCATAAACATTCCACCATTAACTTGGGACAGTGTACATTGTAACAAGTGGTATTCCCTTATGCACAGCAATTACCACAGGGGTCCTTAAACTAAAGAGAACACCTGTAAATGAGAACTATGTAGTGGTCGGATGGCTATGAATTCATCTTCATTATAACCTGAGATCAGGCTCAATTTTCGTTTCGCTTTGTAATAACATTCCGGCCGGCAAGGCGATAGAATGTACGAGAACCGCTAAAATTGGGCCTGATCCCAGGTTATCTTCATTAATATTACATGATGCTCACTATTAAGTTGAATTAGGGAACCAAATTACTTCATTGTACATTGGTGTAAAATAATATGTGATTTTCAAAATGAGGATTCATCCTCAGTATACCAAAAATCCTTCGTGTGTTGGCGCAAGATGTGCCCTCTGGTGGTACGCGTACGTTTTATAGAAACGATGGCTTGTCAACGACTTGTCAGTGTCGGCAACTTAAACTGAACCCGTTGTCAACGCAACTTAACATCTATTGTCTAATGACCAATCAGACACCAGCGTTGCTGGTACGTTGCTGGTCGGGAACCCTCACATTTGCGTAAATAAATCGTGGAATTCCTGGCCCAGCACAAGCGGTATTGGTTCTGTTCTTTAAACCTCTTCGCTTCAACCAACAGGTGTTGTTTTTTGGGGGTGAGGTGATCGGAGATTGTGACTCTGTCAAGAACACTATCAGCAGGCAGACCGATATTTGATGGGTTGACTTGAGAGGCACTTTGTCGAGTTTCCATGACACGTGCTTTTGCAAGGCGTCTTACAAATTTGCAGATGATCGGTTTGGGAGCGCCATTTTGCTTCCTCGAGAAGACGCGATAAGCAATGCCAATGTTCGACAGAAACACTTCTCCCCCCATCTCCTGGAATAATTTTACGCACAGGGCGCTTGTTTCAGCTGCGGTTTCACTGTTTTTCTCTGGCAGGCATTAAATTGGTAGCTATATTCCTTAACCTCGTCAATGGCGTTGCCAACACGTGTGACTTCAGCGCTAAGCTTATTGAGACGAGGGGCTCAATGCCTTGAGTTGATCAACGACACCAGAATTAGACGCCGACAGGTCGTCGTATTCGTCCCCCAGATATTGTAGACTACGAGATACGGTTTCGTCATTCGAAGCATTATTATTGCTATTACCAGACGTAGCTGCCGCACCAAAGGTAATGGCCGAATTGACCCGAACCTTCTCTTTCAGCTGCGTTATTTCCTTCGAAAGGGCGTCGACCTTATCTTTTAAATCTTGATTTTATGGGTTTGATGACATTTGCTAACCAAATCAAATTCAGAATTTGATTACATTTGCTACCTGAGCGAAAAATTGTACAAGTAACAGTTTGATCAGATTTGCTGCCCAAGCAACTTTGTTCAAAACTTGGCTTTCAACTATATGTTTGATGAAATTTGCATACCCTAGAAAATTTGTTCAAAGTTTAGGTTTGCTAACATTTACTTCGTGAGCATTTATGTTGAATACAAAAAGTTTGGTTACATTTGCTATGCAAAGCCTGAATCTGGTTCAACTATAAAGATTTGAACACTCATGATAACCCAAGCAAATATTGTTCAAATTACATTTGCTGACATTTGCAAAGCTGCGTAAACGTTCTGAAAATAACAGGTTTGCATGCTTTTACATCTAAAGCAAAAGCTGTGCAAAACAGAAGATTTGCCTACACATTTAAACCATCAGCAAATGACCCTCAAATCCATGGCTGCCATTATCTTTGCACCAAGAAGTAAATGTTGTGCAAATGTGGCATTTACCGTCATTGCTACGGATAGCAAAACTAGTGCAACATCAGTCTTTGCTCTTGCGCAAATTTGAGCAAAATTGTGCAAATGTGGTATTTGCTACACGTTTGGTGTAATTTGGCTACCCTCGTAAATCCATTTTTTCGTCCAGTGTAAGGTAGCGCGAAGCACCGCAATCAACTTTTGTCAAAGGACTTTATGATGCTAACTGGTCGCTGAAAAGGGATAGAATTAAAAGCTGTTTTAAAAGGTGTTTTCAGCACTAGGCGAAAACAAGAAGTGCGATTATGGGACAAAACTGAGAGCTCAAGTACTGAGCCGCCTCGGGAAACGGAATAATGACTCGAGGGAGTTACGAGGTTAAGAGAGGGTCGCCAAAATGGTTCTTCAATCCCGTAATCCCGACCCAAAATTCGTGCAATCCCGTAATCCCGAGGGTTATTTTTGGCACCCCACCTCCCAAGCATACTTTCAATCGCGAAACTCGCCCCTATTTTGCTCTAAAATTCCGAATCCCGAGCTTCAAATGAGGGAACTCCCGGGTCCCGGAAAACCTATCGAGGACCCTCTTAAGAGTCTCATGTGAAATGTGCGAGAGTGCAAGGGAGAAAACATCGCGCACTTCTAAAAACATATCAAGTAGCCAGACAAAATACGCGAATTTGCGGATAACTCACTAGACTATAATAACATCTGCAGTAATTATTCACTTATTACTGTAGTACGTTTTATATCCGGAGGCTTTTCTCCATCAGGTTGTCCGGACATTGCCAAACTATATTTTAAACGAACTTGACCCAACCTTGGACAATTATGGTGGTAGGAGGATTGATTGGTTTAACTGGAACATTTACATGCCTGGGTTTGTTTGCCGTTGTGCGAAGAAGGCGAAACAACTTGGATATGATGTAATTGGACTTCAGCATTACGGTCAGTAGACTTCTATCGCGGGGATGCAGAGACAGGAAGTGTGTGCATGTCTCTTAGCGTTAGGAGTGTCGTGTGTTTTAGGGGTCACGTGTTAAGCTAAAGAGCCAGTGTTACACATTTTCAGACCTAAAAATAAGACAACGATTTTATACTTATAGCCATGTTGAAGAACAGCAAAATAGCTTGCATGGAACTCGCTAGGCGCTAAATCCATGCTCAGTCGTTGCCAGTATTTAGAGTAAAAGTTAGTCCACGAGCCATGCAAACACGCACACTTATAAAAAGTAGCCGATCTGTTCTAGTGAGTTTAGTCCTGCCTTGGAGTCCGATCGAAATGGTAATCTAGCTTCTGGACAGTGAATTAATAGAAAGGAGGGACAACACTATATTTTGAAAACATAAAAATTTATCATCATTGAATTTTGGATGAAGCTGACCTGGTAACTATGATATGAATAAATAAGCAGATCAAGGATTTGACTTATGACACCCTCCTCGATATAATTCTTCATATCATACTCAGCCTCAGATATCATACAATAATTGCCCAGTCTTCTCCACAGGCGCTCCGTTTTCCACGTGGTTTCGCAAAGAGGCGAGCGCGAAACGCGAGTGACTGTTGACGAAGCGCAAGGTTTCTTCTTCCCGCCTTCCTCAGGCGCAAATTTTCATCGAGAGAGACGTCTTGGTACGAGGCAGATAATTGCCTATTACCATCAAAATCATCATGAACATCATTCTAATTAAAATTCGACCACTAATATCAAATTTCATTCAGCGCAGGTGAATGCTGGGCGGGCCACAAGTCCACACACAATTACAGGGCCCTGGGAAAAGCCAATATCGGTGAGTGCATTGGAGACGACTATCAACCCTGCGGAGCCTATGATCGGTATTGCATGGGCAAGACATTCACTAACATGGTGTACGAGCTCGGTAAGTTAAGTATCAATGGTGAGCCAAAACCAATACCAAATGATAGATACTTTGGTTTTCCTAGAAAATATTGATGCCTGACTGTTTTACAACCGTTACATCACTCAAGGATAGGGTCAAGGATAGTTTTCTTTTACTCGGAAGCAGTCATAACCAAACTCGCTGCAAAGGTCCCATTGTTTCGACCCTAGGTTTTGCGAGTCCCTTTTTCTCATCAAGAGGAGAGACGTCGGGAAGGAGTAGCCTGCACCACAGACAAAAGTAAACCTCTGTCTGCGAGCCAGCGCACAAATCCTTGTTTTAGGTTCCCACCTGTGTATCAGGAGTTAGTGTACGCGCAATTAGTGACCTGTAAAATAAGCCAATGCCGATTTGATGATTAGGTTGAAGGGAACTGATTTGAAACGTGTCTCCGTTAACTCGCTGAGTCGGTTGGGGCCACAGAACAAGAATCTCGGCAAAGCTTGACCGACGTTACTAGCTGAGGTTAAATTACGCTTGCAACATAGGCTATCCCGCGCGAGGCCGGAGAGAGTCGATGTTGTTCTGCAAGCAAACTAATTCTCTGCACAGAATAATTACAGGTTTTTCTTCCCTTTTGAGCAATTAAATTTATTCAATATATACCGTTGGTTGTGTTCTTCGGCGCGAATGAAAAAGAAATCTCTTTCAGGAGCTTTTCTCAAAGTCTACCTGAATTTCTCACTTTTTAGCCCAACAAAATAAACAAAAATACTGATACGATATCGTTTATTGCGTCATGTTAGTGGACACGGAATGTAGTCTGCAGTATGAGAAAGTCGGCTGTTACAAGGACATGCATCGTTCCCAGCGACCACTGCCATTCTTCTTAATGAACGATAGAGATGTTTACCACCAGCATTTCAGTGGGAAACTCGTTGATTGGAGGAACTGGGATGTATACGTGCCAGATTTGGCCTGTAGATGTGCCAAGAAAGCAAAAGCGAAAGGATGGACTTTTTTTGGTCTGCAGTTTTATGGTAAGGATTTTCACTGCTGTAGATCAGTAGTTTTGCATGTACTAATCCGGCGCTTTATAGTTGCAAAACTATTGCCAAGGAACGCAAGCAGTCTCATGCGTCGCTCAAAAACGTTCATGCTTAAGCTCCCTAATACATCAAACACGAGACGCAGAAATCTGGTGGGAATTAAGACGAGTGCAGTATTACAATGGTCCATCAATTCGTGGCCGAAACAACCTTTCACAACTTTCTGCGTATTCTTTTTCCGAAGTACGATTCATCGAACTCACACCTCACACCTCGTATTGGAGGACTTTATTTCCATCAATGATCTTAAAACACTCTTCAAAAGCTTTTGCACTTATCTAAACTAATTTACTAAAGCAGGCCTCCTGCTTCACTTAAAAACGGCCTAATGAATTGATGTTTTTTTTTTTCAGGGGAATGTTGGAGTGGAGAAAATGTTCAAAACACATTTTCTGTAGATGGCCCAGTACGGGCCTGTACAGACCAATGTTTCCAGCCATGTCAGACGTACAGTAAATTTTGCGTTGGTCAGAATTTTGCCAACTTTGTCTATAAACTTAGTAAGTTAGAAAACACGTTTTTCCTGTCGTTTCATCAAGCATAAAGTTTCATTTTGTGATTAAATGACGACACTGGTGGAAAATGACGCGCAGTGCAGCATTTTCAAATAATAGATTGCAAGACTTACAATCCTTTAAAATACATTCTCACTAGCAAAACTCTCTAATTCATCACTGTGATCGTCAAAGGCTCTTACAATTGTACCCTACTGAGCGTTCTTTTTTTTTCTATAAGGAGAACAGGAAGAGACCGAGAAGGCTTGATGCTGGTGTCTTGGAATTTATTAAAATACTTTCACATACCGTCGTGAAAAGCAAAGCCAAACGACAACGATGTGAAATGGAGTTTGTCGTTGACTACGAATTGCTATTGACGCCCCCGCTAGTTGAGTAGAAACGTTTCGTTTTTCTTGAATGTCTTTTGCTTTCACAGAGGAGAAAGATTGCGAAATAGAGTTCAGGCCTGTCGGGTGTTACAATGATGTGAGAGATTCACGAGCACTGAGGGAGGAAATCTACAATGAAGTTGACCCCTCAAGTCCAGTATTTGGAGGACAGTTGATTGGCAACTGGACCGCAGACTTCCCTGTGTTCCTTTGCAAGTGTGCGCGGATTGCGAAAGCCAAGAGATACCAGTATTTTGGCGTGAACAGCTTTGGTAGGAAGGAAATCACTGAAATGATGTTATGTTACCTTGGTATAATAAAAGCGACTTCTCGAGTTCTCCCAATCCAGGGAGTTGAAACCAGATGCTTTTAAGGAAACTCGTGGGTGGCTAATGCCATAAAGGTTTAAGTAACAAACAGTCATCCTGCATATTGCAAGGGCTGAACTCTCAGTAGTATCAGTAGGTGACATCTTTCCAATGATCATTAAATGCGATAGATTAGCAGGATTTTTGTCGCAGGATGTTTAATGGCCTTAGCTCCCACGAGTCTCCTGTAGCTCAGAGCATGTGGACAAGTAAGCTGAAAGATATAGATACTCATGTTGGGGAAAATTTGAATATATTTTTGCGAGTCCCTTCTATTAGTAAAACTGGCTGAAAACAAAAGCACCATTCTCAAGTATTCACCAAACCAAACTGATTGACCATAATTAGCTTAAGCAATAACAACGGCTCTGTTAATAAGACAGAAACAAATTGAAAAGTTATTGAGCGAGGATTTTGCTTCGACCTGCTCGGACGTTCAGAGTTTTGCTATATCTCCCCAATGTTTTAGCATTTTTTCCAAGCAACACGTCATATGATCATATCAACGTTTTTGTTGAGACTGTGAACACACAAAGGCAACAGCTGAGTTTGAATCCTTAATATTCCCATTCTTGGAAATTTCGTTTGCATACAGAAAAATCATAGAATTTATTGGAACAATTACAAAGTAGTCTAAGAAGAGGTTATCAGTTCCTAGACAGGGAAGTTTTCTAAGCTTCGTGATAAAGCTTAGAAATGAAATGACATGATTATCGCATGAGTATTTTCGAAGCTAAAGAGCTTTTATGAAGCTATGACAGGGGCGGATCCAGGATTTTTTTTAGGAGGGGGTGCTCTCGTCTCTTGCTCTACTTCAACACCAATAAAGCACATAGTTTTTTTTTCTGCGGAATACCAGTTGTATTAGAAAACCGCAGGTCATCTCAGGGGGGGGGGGGGGGGGCGCCCCCCCTCCCCCCCCCCCCAAAACCCCCCCCTGTTGGGGGTGCTTGTTTTTTGTTTGGGGTTGTTCCTTGGGGGAAAAAAAGGGGTTTGCTTGGTTTGGGGAAAAAGGGGGGGGGTTTTTATGGTTTTTGAGGGGGTTTTTGGGGTTTAATGGGGGGGGGGGGGTGCGCACCCCCTGCACCCTCCCCCTAGATCCGCTCCTGTATGAGGTAGCTAGTTATCTGTATGGAGTTGTCCTTTGGAGATAATAATGGGATTGACTAGTTTAGGGAACACAGGAGGAGGTTTTTATAGCTATTAGAGAGCGTTTATGAGCTTAAAGATACGCGTGAAAGCCCAGGTCTATGGACCCGTTTGTTTTGTCTCTTACGCCAAAGACTTAAATACTGTTTCAGGTTCCTGTTGGAGTGACGAGGCATCGGAGGGCAGATACAACTTACACGGCATATCTTCCCAATGTTACGAAGGTGATATCAAAGGGAAAGAAAATCCGCCCCAGTGCCCTGTCGGTTCTAAGCTTTGCTCGGGTGGAGCTGTAGCCAGCTATGTTTACACGATTATAAACCGCTGAGGTCAGTAAAACGTGTGCTTGTATGATTTATTCAGTTAGCTTATTACTTTCGAAAACTTCTTAGACCCTGTTTACATGGAGTGGGGGACCCCGGTCTAGTGGTGTTAAGTTTCTTTTGTTTTGTGTCCCCCAGAGCGTGAAAACAAAAGAAACTTACCCCACTAGACCGGGGTCCCCCACTCCATGTAAACAGGCCCTTAGTTATTCAATATACCGAGCAGATGAATAAAAACTTTTATCGGGGTAATGCCAGAAATGAATTAACAAATCAATTGATATGTTAGATTTGATAAAGAGTTAGAATATTTGGTGCGCAAAAAAATTGTTGATAACGTCAAATCGTTGGGCTTGATGATTTTTTCGTGTCACAAAATTCCAAATCCACTCTGCTAGCAGCAGACACCTAGAACCTCAGTGATTTGATCTGTCTTTCATGGATTGTGCGGGGCTCAGTTTAAGTGTATAACCAATTGCAAATACTTGGAACTAGCACGTCACTAATCCATATTCCTCCGAGCGGCATGCAAACTCGTTCGGGTCGCGTAGTTTCTAGTTTTAAGTCACTCGTCTCTTGAAATACATGACCGTGATCATGAAAACATGCCAATAACATTCGAAACTGATTCATTTTTAATTTTTTAATTTTTTTCGATTAAGATAAAGTAAAGTAACATGTAGTTTTTTTTCTTAACTATAGTTCCCGCGTAAAGACTTTTGACTGGAGAGGAATTCTAACCACTGAGAGCAAATTTGGAACATTTGACAGAACGTGTTGATCAAATAGATAAACCATGTAGAACGTGAACAGAATAATAAAGAATGACTGTGTTCACTGATCATACTGGTTTATGTTTACGTGTTCTTTCCCACGTATTCCAGTCTGTGAAGATTGACGTAAGACGCCGAATCCTCCCCTTCCCCCGTCCTCGCCATGATCGGCCGTTGTGATGAACATGGTATCGTTCAGAAGATTCTCATTTTGAACAGTGGCTTGAATAATGCTACCAATCCAGCATCGGCTACGCTGATAAGGTTTGGGTTGCGGTGACATACTGAATTCGAGAAAAATGTCAAACCAAATTTTCTTTTCTCCGGGTAACGCTTCATAAAGCTTTTCATGTAGTTAAATTGCACTTGGTAATCCCAAGCATAATTTATTTTTTACTGTTTGCCAAAGTGTTCTTCCATAGTCGTCAACAGGTTGGTCTTTGAAGCCCTTTAGCCGTAGTAAATGAATTGCTCCTATTAGACAACTTAAAAAATATAATTTCTAAATGGCTGGTTCCGCGAGTGTGCAAGATGAAGTGAATCCTTTGTTCTGATTGGTTAACCGAGCAAAGATGAGCCTATCGATTTGTCCCGTAAGAAAAATAAATCGCGTATAATGAAGCCTTTATTGTCCAAGTTTTTTCGGACAGTATGCCTGAACATTGGCCTCGTTCTTTTTTGCGTTTTTATCAACCTCGACTTCGTCATGATCCATTACGACCCAAAAAAGAACTTGGCTAATAACCAGCAACTTTGAACACTTTACCTGGTGGTCAAAGAGTTTCGTGGTAGCGTGATTTTTATTCATTTATTTGTTGTAAGAAAAGAATGAGAAAAATATGTCAAATTTCACAAGAATTGTGAAAACACGGGTAAAATCCTGAAAATTTCATGTGCAAGATGTTATTTTGTGGAATATTTTCTCGGGCTCCCATCAGAAGTTTTCTTTCGTGTTACTACAGATGACTAATTACATCTATAGCCATTGAAAAATGTAAAAAAGAATGCCATATGCTTTAAATTATTTTGGTACAAGGTTTCTGTCCACTGAAAATTAAAATTACTCAATTTCCTAAAGAATTCCATCTTAATATTCCCATAATCGATGGCCTTATATTTAGGCCTTTGTACATTATGCTAGCATTTTATTTTAACATTTTCGTGAGGCAAACGCATTAAGCATTATTCCAGCATTTTACTAGCATTTTCCCAGAAAATTAGTTCTTTTCTGACAGAAAATGAAAATCGTAACATTTTTAAGAGAAATGACGACTTACACTAAAAAAGTTAAAAATATATATATCTTCCAATTTCACCTTAACAAGCCGTGTAGATGACCATTGTTTGCCGTATTTAAACTATTTACCTGTATACATTTTCGCAATACCACTTATACGTTTTTATTATCCTTACACCCCCTTAAAGGAGAATAGAATAGAATAGAATTAATAAAAAATCCTCTCTGTGATGAGCATTATCGAGCATTTTGGTGACATTCTTAGGGGTTGCCGAGCATTTTAGTGAGAGTAATGGAGCATTCAGTTGGAGCGGTTTAGTAGGGAAACAAAAGCATAATGTACAAAGGCCCACTTATAATATGCGCCCTCTGGCACCAAGAGGGATGACTGTAGGGACATGTTAAGTTGTTCTCACCGTTGAGTCTCTGGCTAAAAACTCATTGTGTAACCATCCAATCAAACCTCTTTGGAAGTACTAAAACATAGTGCTATTCAGTAGTTTTTCAAATAATAAAGCTGAATATAATATTCGAGTCTGTAAATTTATTTTTGGGAAATTTGGGTTTTTCAAGAGTCAAGGAACAAAAGCCCGCTTGATGCATGCAAATTTTCTTTGTAATGTCTTGTATTCAGCCAATGTCTACGCTGTAATTGTGCACGTGTTTACAAAAAGCACGAATAATGATCGAAAGAAGAAGTAAACAAAAATCCGTAGAGACAAAACCAAAGCTGTTATAGTAGACCTTTACCTTCAATATTTTAATCGATCGATCGACGGTGTTTATTGAAAGTCATTAAAATCTCGAGAATTGCGAACAGACACCTTCGCAAGAATCAGATAAATGATTATCACTCATCCACGTTTTTAGATTTTTTGTCTGAAAATAAATTAGCAAGTTAAGATACCAATGTTCTCCAACACAGAAGCCTTGAAGTGATCCAAAAACTCTTTGTTTTGTATTTAGAACAACCGTAAATAAACCTAACAGTATATAAAATAAATCTCTGGAATCTCCAAAGTCAACAGGACTATTTTTGGCCAAGCATTTTAGTAAACAGAACGGACGGCCCTGTATTTTTTTTTCTTATTAGTTGGGGGTAAATATTCTGCGGTATCAGTGCGGCAGGTGCTAACAGTGCTAGGTAATAAAACAGTGGTAAAGTTTAGGCAATTTTTTTTATCCTCGTGTTGGGTAGATACGACTTTTTATAGCCCACGTTTTCGCAAATTTCAGCGAATCGAAAGAGTCTAGCGAGTGGTTAAAATCACGAGTCGAAAAGATAAATCCAAGCACAAGAAAAATCTTGGGAACAAGTTTTCTCAGTTTTTAATTATTTATAATTTATTTTTCGAATCTTCTCGGACCCACACCTCGGTATTAAGAAAGTCGTATACCAGAAAAAATACTGCAATGTTTTTTCCATTCTCAGCGATTAGAAAGATGGAATCGGTCTTGCTCCGTTTCAGCGGTCGATGTAAACCTGTTTGTTTTGCTGTAACTGTACTAAAGCTATCTTAAGTGCCCGAATAACTTCCTTTCAAACAATGCTTTGTTTAGCATCTTGAATAAAACTATCATTTCGTTACCGCTGCCATAGAGTTTCCATGATCATTAAGTGGTCGCCCAAAATAGACCGTAAGACGGTGTCTTTTCCGCCCTAGTTATTTTAACCCGCTTTTGTCTTTCTAGTGCTTGACAAAGAAAAAAGACATACGACCGTCCGCTCTACTCGATATTCAATATTACGAAAAGAAAAAATAATCGCTCCTACATAAACATCTGGAGTTACAATCAAGTTTAGGTTGCTCCAATGTTTTTACTGCATAAATCTAGTCACCTAGTGTTCGCAAAATGACAGCGACCGAACCTAGTTTTTCATCAACATTAAACTTTCTAGACTTAAGCAAGCTTAGTTACACAGAAACTTTTGTTCAAAATCGCACCGGATCCAACACGTCTGGCTGGATGAATTATCTTTCGTAAATCGTACAACGCTCCCGAAATTCACTCCTTAAAGTGTCTTATAAAAATGTTTTCAGAAAAATGGGATTATCGCAACACTGAAAATCTGCCAAAATGTACCTAATTTTATGTTTTTGTTCTGGTGTCAAAACCCTACATTTTTTGAGTTTGCTCAAAATTTTGTCGGAAGCTCAAGGTGATTGTTTTGCCGCTACGGTAGAATAAAAGACTATCTGCATACTAACGCTATAGCTCATCCAAAAGTACCAAAATTTCTTTTTGTTTTTAACAAATGCATTTGCTCTCCATGAAGACTTGTGCTTGTTCAAGAAACAATTCAAGCTGAGTTTTATCAGAACTGTTAAATCTTGCTGAAATTGTTTAAAACGCATTTCATTCCCCATATATTTGTTTCCATTCATATTACATTCCGATAAATTGATGTCAGATCCCTTAAAATCGCCAGAGTGCACAAAGAGCTGACCGTGCAAACAAGCCAACAATCCAGCAAGTTCCTATCCATGATTTTTTAATAACCTTGCTCTTTCCATCTTTATTCCACTATACCTTGATCTTTTATTCGAGCCTGACCCCGCCATGCCTTGAGTCATGATTCCACAAAACGAACTATGAAAGACATCATTTTTACACATCCAATTCACTTTGGTCTGGAACTCTGGGCCTCGGACCTGCGTCTATCACTGGGCTTATGTTTTACGGGACTACTAGCTCCTGATGCGCTGTAGAACTGGTCCGACCAGCTCACAACACTCGCAGCTCGGCTAGTTCGCCCTCGTTCATGAGCTGACATACGATCTTCGCTGTCGGTGTTAAAGATATCTGCAGAAGTTTCCCGTATCGGCGACAGAGCTCTCCTCCCAGCGACGGGCGATTTGGAGCTACGACGCGAGCCACGATAGGACGAGCCCGAGGCCGTCAAAGATTGAGGATTTCCCGAGCTCATTGCGTCCTTATTTTTTCCTATGACTAGATTTGCTACTTTGTAGTTCGCCTGATGGCTTAGACTTGA